TTATAGTAATTTATACATATAACGACATATTAACTTAGATTATAATTTTAATTAACTTAAAATTAAATTCCACCTATGGTCCGGTAATCATATCTGATAGGTGTGACACCTCGCCTAGGTGGTGGCGACCCTTGCTACTGTAGCTAGTCGTTATGCAAGTGGCAAACCACGTTGTTGTTACAGGCCGAATTACTAATCTAAAAAGCCCGCTTGCAAGTTTCATAATAAACGCATGAACAGAAATGAATCTGATGAAAATTTCAAACCTTAAATCGTTAAACGCTGGATTCAGCGAGCGTTTTTCTCGAAATTTTCCGACCTACGCCAATAATTTTCCTGGAGTCTGGTTACCGAGTACTTTCGTTAAAAAAAAATTTTGAAAATCCGAGCACGTAAAGTAATTATCAAAGTATTATTAAGTAAAAAATAAATTTGGCTGATATTTTTGTGTATTACAAGCAGAATATAAATTCTTCGCTGATCTTAGAAACTTATACCTTTTTATATAATTATTTCATAAATTAAAATGTACAATATTATTGAAACTTTTTTTTTTAATTTTAAGCATTATTATTATATTAAAGAGAACCATAATACTTTTCAGAAAAATATTGGTGGCCCTGAAAAGGGCCGTTTTAAGGTATAATTTAACTCGAATTGTGTTTATTTGGAACTTGTGTACTTGGTAACAGCTTTGGTACCTTCACTGACCGCGTGCTTGGCTAATTCACCGGGCAATAGAAGACGAACAGCTGTCTGAATTTCACGACTAGTAATAGTTGAACGCTTGTTGTAATGAGCTAAACGACTAGATTCAGCTGCGATGCGTTCGAATATATCATTTACAAAACTGTTCATGATACTCATAGCCTTAGAGGAAACTCCGGTATCTGGATGTACTTGCTTCAGTACCTTGTATATGTAAATTGCATACGATTCTTTCCTCTTAGGTTTGCGCTTCTTATCCGATTTAGTAATGTTCTTCTGAGCTTTCCCGGATTTCTTCATAGCTTTGCCTGCGGATTTGCCTCCTGGAGCCATATCGATGTGAGACAATTTGGCACAGCACTGAAAACCTAACTCGAGTAATAATGGATGTCGATAAATATTTTCAGTTTTTTTTTTATAGAAAACGATGCACTAAAAAAAGGTTTTTCATTGGTCGGCTTATGATATGTAGGTAAGAAAATGTAAAATATATAAAACAACGCTTGTTATATGAGAAATTACTTTCAATATATGTTGTTTTTGTTCGTCATATTTTATTAATAAATAACAATCATACTGTAAACTATTGTTGAATATGTGTTTAAATAACGTTGATAGAAGTAATTCTTACTATGATCGACAATTACTATTTGCTATTCGCAAATTTAACAGTTATCAAAATGAGTGGACGCGGCAAGGGAGGAAAAGCTAAGAGCGGGAAGTCAAAGACCAGATCGTCTCGTGCGGGATTACAGTTTCCAGTTGGACGTATTCATCGTTTGTTAAGAAAGGGCAATTACGCTGAACGTGTCGGAGCTGGTGCTCCTGTGTATCTGGCTGCTGTTATGGAATATTTGGCCGCCGAAGTATTAGAACTCGCAGGAAACGCCGCACGTGACAACAAGAAAACTCGTATTATTCCAAGACATTTGCAGCTCGCTATTAGAAACGACGAAGAGTTAAACAAACTGTTATCTGGCGTCACTATTGCTCAAGGTGGTGTGTTGCCAAACATCCAGGCCGTTCTTCTTCCTAAGAAAACCGAAAAAAAGGCTTAATTTATCCCGTGTCGACTAACCAGTAATCCAAACTTTTAAAACGGCCCTTTTCAGGGCCATCAAATTTTTCAAAAACACACGTATATTGGTTATCGCTAATGTTTACTATGACCTGCATAAAAAAAAATATACGCCACGATAGTTATACTAAACAAAGTATTCAGTCGGCCTTTGACTGAACTGTTAATCTCCGAAATTCATCTTATTAAAAATCGATCGATAGAAAATGGCAACAAAACCAACACTCAGTTGCGTGTCTACATAAAGAGCAGCTGTCCCTATGGAGCCGCTACGATAATGACGACGTGTAATGGTCGAAGAAACGTCTAAAAATATTTAACACGAGTTGAAATAAATATTTTTAGAATGTTTTTTTATTATTTAAATATATCAATCGTTGAATATATATATATATATATATATATATTATAATAAAATTATTCATACTACGATTCGTAACTTTATGCATATGTACGTTTTGTAGAGTAGTGTCAAAATTTACGAATATTGCCCTTACTTAGTGTAATATAGGTCATTATTTTTTAAAACTGAAAACAGAGCATTTTTGTAATGTTTGGTTTAACTATGAATTTCTTGATCTATTATTACAAAAATATAATATAGTCTATTATTTGTAAATCTAGAAGTAGAACACTTTTGTAATGTTTAGATTAATTGTAATTCCCAAATTATTGTTACTATCAGGAAGTAAATATTTATAAACATTTTTGAAAATGATTACTATATGAATTTTATAAAAAGAAAAACAAAATATGTTAGTATATAAGATGAAATGGAATGAATTGAAGAGAGGAGAGAGAGAAGACCTCGGGAGTACCGAAGGTAATCTCTTTCCGTGTGGTACGTTTGTGACATTAAGTTTTTATTTTGGTATATTATTTATTTATCCGTTTTTAAGTGTATATATGTTTTATATATGTTTTTATATGTTTTATTTTGATTGATTATATCTTTATTAACTACATTTTGCGTTATTATTGAACTACTATAACTATAAGTTAGAACAAAAAGATTGTTCCATATATAAATACAACATTAGGTTTCTTTAAGATACCTCAATCAAAAGTTATAAATTCATGAACTTGCGAGCCCTGTTCGTAANTTTTTTTTTTTCATTATTGAAGACTATGGACGTCGTCAGCCGGGACACGACCAGACGACAGTCGAGGCTCGAGACCACCAGTTCGGCTCGCCGCCGAATCTTTTCCAAATCCTTATTATTTATTTTTACACCTAAAATTGTCGCGTTCCTTCAATAATAAATGTATAATATAACGAACACCACACCCCGGACGAAAAGAGAGAATAAACAAACGCCATGCGTGTGTTTCATGGAGAGGGGGGCGCCGCGCGCGCGTCTTGTTTTTTTAATTTTAACAACAATAACACACAACCACCGATGCATTATAATGCGCAATTGTTGGCCCTGAAAAGGGCCGTTTTAACGTGAGAAGAGAGCTGGCCGATGTAGTTTTGATACACACGACGAGCGAGTTAACCTCCGAAACCGTACAGGGTACGGCCTTGGCGTTTCAAGGCGTATACGACGTCCATGGCGGTGACGGTCTTCCTCTTGGCGTGTTCGGTGTACGTGACTGCGTCACGGATGACGTTTTCCAAGAACACTTTCAACACACCACGGGTCTCTTCGTAGATAAGACCGGAGATACGTTTGACACCACCGCGGCGAGCCAACCGACGGATGGCGGGCTTGGTGATACCTTGGATGTTGTCACGGAGCACCTTACGATGACGTTTGGCGCCTCCTTTTCCCAAACCTTTTCCTCCTTTGCCTCTGCCTGTCATGGTAGCTGTTTACTGGTCGTTTGTCGTTCGGCGAATGAAGACGAATCGAATCGAATGATACGGAAACCGTACGGCGGCTGTATTTATGCGCGACGGCCGACCGACGGCAGCGCTCCCGTTGGAGCCCCCACCGCCGCGATACGGTTCGGGGCAAACAAAAAAAAAAAAAACCGTTGAACCCTCGGACCAATGAGAACGGTTCCCGGAGCCCGTCCACCGTATAAATACAGCGCGGCACCGGAGCAACGTCGTATCATAGCGATATTCGTCCGTGTGTTGTCGTTACATTGAAACGTCGTCGTCGCCGCCGCAGCAGCAGCTATAGTAACAGTGATGGCTCGTACCAAGCAAACCGCCCGTAAGTCTACCGGAGGAAAGGCTCCCAGGAAACAGTTGGCCACCAAAGCCGCCAGGAAGAGCGCACCGGCAACCGGCGGTGTCAAGAAACCCCATCGTTACCGTCCCGGTACGGTCGCTCTCCGTGAGATCCGTCGTTACCAGAAGAGCACCGAATTGTTGATCCGCAAGTTGCCGTTCCAACGTCTGGTCCGTGAAATCGCCCAGGACTTCAAGACCGACTTGCGTTTCCAGAGCTCGGCCGTGATGGCTCTCCAAGAAGCCAGCGAGGCATACTTGGTGGGTCTTTTCGAAGACACCAACTTGTGCGCCATCCACGCCAAGCGCGTGACCATCATGCCAAAGGACATCCAGTTGGCCCGCCGTATTCGCGGAGAACGCGCCTAAGCCGCCGTGCCCGAAATCACATTACGTCTCGCTCATCTTAAAACGGCCCTTTTCAGGGCCAACACGTTATTCTATCTATTGTCGGCCGTGTTCAATTTGCAAACCATCATCATCATCGGTCCAACGATGTCGCCGATAAATCCGTTATCCCGTCGACAACCGACAACAGCGACGATGATAATAATAATAATATATACACATGTCGTGCGCGCGGAGGGGTGTCGCCAGAAGGCCTAACTGCTGACGAAGATTATAATAACGACTTATGGTGGTGCGATTATCGTTTTGTTGAAAACGAAAAAGAGAAAACAACACGCTGTAGTATACGCCGCCGCCGCAGCAGCCTGAGGAGGCAACAATCACACTAATGAAACATACATTCAACACAGTGTGATCACTGTGTCAAAAGTAATAAGCGTTGTGCAGTTAGGTCTGTACGTCATACGACAGTAACTATGTGTCATCCTCAGTGATGCCGTCGAGATAATATCAATAGCACACTACTACTACTACTACTACCACTACTAGTAATAATGACACACGGCGGAAAGTAGTAGACGATAAGGGGTGACGGTTGTCGGCTCGGTTTACAAGTAATGCTCTATTAATAGAACGAACGGCGCCGTACGTTATCGTTTTTATTACGGTCGCGGTTTTCCCCCGTGTCGTATCGATACAGAAGCAAATAAATCATTGTTGTTAGCGTCGTTGTGTCAACACGCCGCTATTGCTCGTGTTAGTTTTGCACGCGCGGAAATGAACTGTGCGCGTAGGGGAAATAATAGAGTTGGGCAAGACTATTTTTGACATTTTTTTAATCAAATAAAACCCGGACCCCGAAGATGGTCCTTTTTGGTTTTTTTTTTTTTTTTTTTTTCCCGCGATCATCGAGTAGTGTTTGTTTGTCGCGTTCAAACTAAAATCATCGCGATGGAAATACTTGGGTGCCGACACCGCCGTGCACATTTAACGTGATTATTTTTTTTTATTAATCTACAACAACGGTGGTAGTTGATATCATCGCCGCCACCGCCACACACTAGCGGCGCGCGCTCGCTCCTCACTCCTAACACACGTTTTACCCCCGGGTCATTTGATTATTATTACAAGTTGGTGGTCCTGAAAAGGACCGTTTTAGTGGAGAATGGTTCGAGAAAAATTTACTTCTTCTTGGGGGCGGCCGCCTTCTTGACCGGAGTCTTTTTTGCCTTTGGAGGCTTGGCCTTGGTGGCTGGCGCTTTCTTCGCCTTGGCCGGGGACTTCTTCGGCTTGGCCGCTTTGGGTTTGACAGCGGACGCGGTCTTGGCTTTCTTGGCGGCCGGTTCGGAGGAGGACTTGGCTTTCTTGGGCGCGGACTTCCTCTTTTTGCCGGGCGTTCCCGGGGCGGTTTTTTTGGCTGCCGGCTTCTTCTTGGGCACCGCTTTCTTCACGGCCTTGGCTTCGGCTGCCAATTTGAAATGCCCGGAAGCACCGGATCCGTTGGTCTGCACCAGCGTACCCTTGGCGACGGCGGCCTTCAGGAATTTCCTGATGAACGGAGCCAATTTGGCAGCGTCCACCTTGTAGTTGGCGGCCAAGTATTTCTTGATGGCGGGCAACGACGATCCCTTTTTCTCCTTCAGGTTCTTGATGGCCGACGTGACCATGACGGCCGTGGTCGGGTGAGACGCGGCGGGCTTCTTTGCCTTGGCTGCCGGCGCCTTCTTCTTGACGGGCGATTTTGCGGCTGCCGGTGTTGCCGGCACTGGAGCTGCTGCTGAATCGGTCATGTCTGTACTGGTTCGATTGGCTGAGTGTAGTCTACGTGAGTGTAAGTGCAACTGTACGCGGGTACGATACCGTGCCGACGGTGGCCCGCAGTTTACATACGGCTCGTCGTACCGACTAGTAATCGAACGCTCAGCGAGAATCGTCGCTCAGCGATATTCGCAACACTTTTTCGTTAATTAACTGGCCGCCGACTCGCTTGGTACTCCGAAACGAACGTTTATCCAATGTCCTCATGCTACTCGTTCGGCCTTTCAACCGGGTTTCGCCTCCACCGGCACCCCCGCCGAATAACCGACGGTTTTTTTCGGACAGTCTGCGTTTTTTAGTACGCTCTTTTTATTTACCCCTAAACGTCTACAATTCGACTTGGACCGACCGCCCGTCGTCCCGCTCGCATCTCCAGATGTTTTCGAGACGTCCCGACGCGGCCCCCGAGCCGATTTCGCGGTATTTACGACTTCAGCGCCTTTTGAAAATCGGTCGATCCGAAACACGGATCGTACGCTATACGGTCGGGTCATGACAACTTGACCGATATTTGCGATCCAAAAGAAACTTGGCCGATATATTTTCTTATCGCCCATCGAGACGGCCCGGAGACTCGGAGGTGCGGACACCGTCGTCCGACCCGAATTCCTCCGGAGTCCCATAGAGGGCGATTACCGGATCCCCGTTTTGACGGCGCGGTCCAGTCGCACTCGCGAAGGGACATCTCAAAAAAACTCGTATCCTGGGCGCGCTTCCCGTGAAGTTGTTTTTTTGTGAAAAATCAAAATCCCCTATAAATATAATATTTCAAAACTAACGGCGCGCATAAGACCGTCCCGGTCGCGCGGACGGCAGACTCCGGGGCATTCGTTAAATCGGTGCCGGGACGAACCGTATTGCACACCTGATGCTGCCTCGGTGTGAGGACCGCGGGCGAAAAATCATCGGCGTGACCGACTTTCGATGTATAACCGGTCCGGCACGTCGATATCCGCACAACGTACCCCCCGACCGTGCCGGAGTATCGGCGCAACAGTCGTAACGGCCTGCGGGATGATACGCTCGCAGCGACAAATATACACACGGCAGGAGTGGTGTCGCTCGCGATCGTCGAAATCGAGTAAAACAGCGAAATTTTTCGTTCCGAGTACGGCGCCCGATTCACAAAATGTCGGCCAACACAAACCGTACACCTTAGCGGCATTTCCAGTACTCGCACGGGGTGTCGGAAC